AACAGGCCACAACACTATCTGTTCATATATATCTGTCTGCCTATGTTTATTCTGTTTCTATCTAAGTCTGTTCATTGTCTCTCTATTTATCTATCTAAGTCTATTTTTATCTATCTCTCTGTCTATCTGTCTATCTATTCAAGTCTATTCCCATCTATCTATCTATCTATCTATCTATCTATCTATCTATCTATCTATCTGCTGTGGTAAACCCTTCTAGAGTAGAATGAACTAACTGCAAGTGTCGTTGAGGAGTCGGTTGGGAATCGGAGACGCAGTGTTAACTCACCCTTCGGACGGACACTTCCATCTGCTTATTACTAACACTCTTGCTTTGTATATCTGTTATTTCAATACACTTGTTCAACCTACCTTCGTCTTCCATGTCTTTCTTTCTGGCCCTTAAACGGGCCAAAACAAAGATAGAGAAATGAGACTTCCTTATTGTTTATTAGAATGTCTGTGGAAATTTCAGTATCCTTCTGGAGAACCATATATCTGGTGCCTTTAGTATTCCCCTCATCCATAGGGAAGTGTCCAACATTCCTTGTCATGTAAAATGATGGATATCACATAGTAATCCAGTAACTTTTTTTTTTCAAACGATTTTTTTCTGTTTTTCATCACACCTACCTTAGCCTGTAAAAATATCACACAATATACAGAGATGATATATATATATATATATATATATATATATATATATATATATATATATATAGTAATTTCCTAGATAAATATTGTGAAAATATTTAAACACCTCCCGTATCGTTATTATGTCATATTTAATGCTCGTCGCAAAGTACACCAGATTCATAAACCATTCACCATGTCCTTTTTGTCACTTTTGCTTCCATTTTCCTTACAACTTATTCGTTGCTCACCTGTACAGTCATTGGTATTCTCAGAATCCTTCTGTAGATCTACAATGTTTTATTAAATGGGAATTACCATGACTTCGCAATGGTGTGGTTTCTCGTTGCTATCTCCACTGGTCTGTGCTCAGCGTTCTCCTTTTTTAAGGAAGCTGTCACCGAAAACGAGAGTACTCATTCTTCCTTGCTCTTGAAAAAATTGGCTGAGACTACACACATCTCCTTCTTTTCTAAAGCCATTTTTTTTGCGATGGCACTTTCAACTGAATACGTGGGCATTTGAATGAAACAAGGCGATTCCTTTTTTTCTGCAATGATAACATTTAAGCTAACTGCATACCTTGTCATAGAAAACAACTCCTTGTAATAAGGAAATAACCGGCTTTGCAATCAACTCGCTAATTAAATAATCACAGATATTAATTAATGAATGAAAGCCGGATACCTTTCATCTCGGTTTTGATCAATTTTTTGTGTGCTACAAAATTAAAACCAAAATCTTTCAGGGGATATTTTAAAAATTCTGGAACCATGGAAAAGATTTGGAAGACATGGCACCCCCGTCTACCGAATACGGCAAAAGAAATCAATTGATCGCTGAAAAGTTATTTTAATTTTCTTTGTCGGACTAGCAGTTTAATTTAATTTGACCGAGAATAAATCCGAGAAGGAAACCTAGTTTTTCCTTCTTAGAGTCACCTCAATGTATTAAGTTAAATAAAGCCCATGGTGAAATGCATTCATGATTTACATCGTTTTGTGCATATGCTTAATTCATTTTTTCATCCGAACGTAGACGATTTCTATTTGCACCTGCGTTAATCTGAAAACTATATTTCAAATTTCTGTCGTACAAATAATCCCATTGCTTTTCTTTGATGCTCTTTCATTTCTTGGTTATGAGGTTTCGGTTGATCCAATCTACAATCTTCTTAGGGTGTACCACTCATCAGGGAATAAAAATGTTAGCAATCACACATAGATTGGAAACGTCTGTGGTGGGTAAGAAAATTTAATAGATATACAGCAGGTTAAGAACTATTTTAGCGAGAATGGTTCGATTAAGTGTATATTTTTTTACTTAGGAAAAAGAAATGAGGGACTTATTCCAGAGTACATTAATAAGGAAACACTTTTGCCATAGTTTGCTGAGGATATCTGTTTGGTTGGTTGATTTTGTTTAGCGGCATATCATCCTCCATGGGCTATTTAATGCTGACATCTAAATATTTTGAGCTCACCTTATGGCTTCAACTATAGATAAAATATATTGTTGGTCGTTTTTCTGTTATTACTGTTATTTTTACTATAAAAATGTATTTTTATACTTTCATCGTGTTTAGTTTCGGGGTTCACTATTTGGATATAACTGTGGCCCTATGAGGTGCTACTACTCCTGGTCAGAATGGACCTGAGAACAACGGCAAATAACAGTTCTACGCTCAACAAAACCTCCAATCTCCCATTCAGAGACCTTACTAAGAATGAAAAAGCCATACTGTTGCAAATGGTCTAATTCGTTTTGTGCCATATACACAGATCTTTTCTGTTGTAAAACCTCGTTAAAACGAGGTTTTTCGCATTCACGTTTATTACACTCTAGGCGATATTTAAGCAGTGCCGTTTACATTTACAGGGATTTATGAAGAATTACTGATTTAAATCCGTCGAGGATGGCATAAGGGAAAGGATTATCCAGTCCTTCTTAAAGATGAAAGAATTTAGCATTGAGTCTAAAATATCAAATAAGAAAGACGACTTAGACATGGAAGTCACGTGCTTGGTGTCTCAAGCTTTTAAGAAATAAAGTTTTTTTGTAGATATAAAAATGATTAATAAATTACCCTTCTGTTAACTCGTGGCGCACCTAGCTATAAGTAAGAGTCTACCAGGTTCAAAATCACTCTATATTAGAAATGACATGCTCAACAAGCTTTCGTATAATTACGCGTATTACGTTACCATTAAATCTTAAAAATAACCTTCAAAAATAAGAGTTAGACTAGTAAATCGGTTACAAAAAGTTAACATTATATCCTTTTGTGCAGTGCTTCTCAAATGGTGCGCCCGGGAGCACTAATACACCCTGCCGAGTCAGAACATATGACATTGCATATTCGTCTTTTGTCGATAACCTAGAGATATGGCAAACTTCACGTATATTGTGTCTTGTTTGTTTCTTTCTTTCTTTAGTTGCATATCAACACGTCATGGGTCATTTACTGCTGAAATATAATTTTCTTGTGAAGATTAGGAAAAATGTAATGCTTATGATGTATTTTTCCTTACAGATATGTATTGCTAGAAGTTTTTTTTTTTTTTTTTTTTTTAAATTTTACAAAAATATATTGCTGGTGATTTTTTTACTATGAAAATGTATTGCTGGTATTTTAAAATAAAAATATTTGTACTCCCATAGTGTTTTGAACCAAGTTTTGCCTTTAGTTATTTGCCCATACTTGGGACCCTAATAGGTGCTACAACCCCGGGTTAGGGTGAACTCGGGAACATCACTTTCTATGACATGGTTCTACGCTTGTCAGAACATTTCGATCGAAGGCCTTTCTGCCGGATGTAATTTTAACATCATACACAGGAGGATTTTGCCTTGTAAAGCTGCGTTCATGCGTAAATTTATTTGTGTAAGTGCATCATGTCTTTTGTTTGTCTACGCGGGATTCGGGTGACGATGTAGGTACGTTTGTGTGTGTCTCTGTGTGCGTGTGTGTACGCGTCCGTATGCGCGTTCGTGTCTGTTTAGGGAGAGCAGACATTTTTATTTCTGCAAAGTGGTTGTCCGAATGTTGATATATAAATGTTTTCTGTTTGTTAATTATCCTATCGTAACTGGCAATAAAGAAAAACCTATATCAAGCATGTTGTATTTCTTGTTTTTGCACTGATTCAGCCCGAACGATTCTTTCCTGTATTTAGGAATTGGCAAACAACTTTATTAAAATGCATATATAAATTCCAGTTAGAATATTCTTGGCGCTAAAAACCCAAACAGGAGAGCAAAAATAGATATTAATGAAGACATAAACAATTTCTAAAAGAACTTTTTTATTTTATTTTTATTAAATGTTACGGATTACTCACATATCTTGTAAGTGCTGGGTTTTCAAACAATAAACCAGTGCTGATATTTTGATCACCGCGAGGAAAGGAACGGGAAAGCACTCCCTAGAAAACAAAAATCATGCCAACACGCAAGGTAAAAAAATGTCCTGGTACCCTGTCCAGTGATCAATCACTTCCTCACTGGTAAGACTTTATTGTCGACAGAGTAAAGAGTGTGTTAGTAATTACATGAGAGGTCTACTTATTCCAATTAGAGGTCCAGACAGCTCTATCAAAATGGCTATTTTCTCTATTGCCAGTCTCAGCAATTGGAATCAGATTAAAAAAATGATAATAAGTAAACATAGAAGAAGGAGATTCTTAAACGGAAGTCGATGTAAGCGCAGACACTAAATAGATAAGCACATAGGAACGAAAATAAATTCAATAAAATCCAACGTCTGAAATAAAAAGAAAGAACTGTACGCTAAAAATCGACCGTTGTCTTTGACATGTTCAATGAATTTCTGCCTCTTCGTTAAAACTTTTTTCCCTCATAATTGGCCAATTGCAATCCGAAAAAAATGTTTTAAAATTATTCCTTAATGGGTTCGTATGAATTGATAATAACGAGGATGTTAACCTGGTTAAGAAACACTACTACAATTACTACTACTAATACTACTACTAATGATAGTATTTTTAATAATAATATTAATAATAATAATAATAAAAAGAAGAAACATTCAAATTCCTTAGATGGGAAAAACATGATGAAAGCAAACGATTTCAAGAGACAAATAATTTTAATAATGGGAAAATCTTACAAAGGTTAGATTAGCAAATACGAGAGAAAAATATCTTCTGGCTGATATTTAATGAAATGTTAAATTAATTCCATCTATGTTTTTCCTTTTTTTTTTCTCTAACTGTTTTCGGACTGGATTTAACCCTGGCAAAATCTTTACCACGTGAAATAAAAAAATAATAAACACATATACAATTCGCGTAATGTTCTCTCCTCACAATTCACAAAGAAGACATATAGCGATCACAAAATCTTTTCTACCTCTTCCTTCCTAGCGAATGGTTGGAGAATAAACCAACGGACTCTATAAAAACAAAGGATGGAACGGTGATAATAGGTAAAAAAAAAAAAAAAAAATACCACGTAGTTGAAGCAAATAACTTATATTTTTTTTTTTACAATGAGAGAGAAAAATTTACAACGCTTGAAAATATTGAACTGCCAGAAATATGGAAGAAAAGACAAAGGAAGATTAACAAAAAATCTTTAAGTCTTAGACAACTTCAGCATCGACAAAATGTTAGAAGAAACAAAATATACAACAATGGCGACCTTACGGAATCCGTCTTCTTTATATTACCGAATAAACTAGGTGCAAATGAATGCGAGTTCCACCGGACAATCAATTTAATGAGCCACATAATCAAACTAATGGTGCTAATGCTGGTGAATATAGCGCAATATGAATTAGACCGGAAATAGAACAAGAACAACAAATTCATTATTCAATTTCTTTCAATACAAATCTAGAAGTGTGAGCTGGTGTGGCCTTGTTAGCGCCAGAAATAACGACACAAAGAAAGGAATTGAGTTAAACAAATATACTAACAGAAACATTAATACAAACATATACAAACAAGAGTGTTACAGCAAGAATGTTCGGCCCGACAGTCAGAGCTGACTGATGGAAACTTCCCTCTCCAAAAGGCAGTACCTGCTCCTATTTATAGCTGGGAGAGTCCATGCGTACATGGGTAATGTCATGTTGCCTACCTAGACCGACAGAATGAACTCTTCCAAACGCTATATTTACTATGCCTCTCAAGAGAGACGGACGGATTTGGTATTGGGACGGTAATGAATAGAGTCGAGCTGATAGCAGTCACGCCAAACCAGTCGGACAGTTTACAAACAATTCACTTCTTGTATTATTTCTTGTGTAATATATTCTTTGTTATTTCTACTGTTGTGTTTTGTGTTCTTCTTCCATGGTCCTAAACTTAGAGCATAACAGATAGATAGATAAATACATAGATAGATAATTAACAGACTGTGATAGATAGATTCATAGGCAGATAATAACCAGGTGTGATAGATAGATTGATAGATAATAAACAGACTGTGATACATAGATAGATAGATAGATAGATAGATAGATGCATACATACATGCGTACATAAATAGATAGATAATTGTTGAAACTTGACTAATGCATGGAATAATAATGCAACACAAAATGTACTTAGAACAAAATGTATTGAAACAAGAAAGTGTACACAATATTTACATATAGTTTTTGTATATTCCTGGTAAGAACGTTCCTGGAGAATGTGTTGACTTAGTCGCAGTCGGGCAGAATCTCTGGTTGAATCTCTTGATTCCTCCCTCTCTTCCCGGTACCAACGATATTTATATGGTCGGTACTCGACTATGCAAATTAGGTGGATCCTACCACAACAATAATAAACAGACTGTGGTAGATAGATAGATAGATAGATAGATAGATAGATAGATAAAGAACAGAGAGAGATAGATAGATAGATAGATAGATAGATAGATAGATAGATAGATAGATAAAGAACAGAGAGAGAGAGGGAGATAAAGACCAGAGATAGATAGATAGATAGATAGATAGATAGATAGATAGATAAAGAACAGAGAGAGATAGATAGAGAGATAAAGAACAGGCATAGATAGATAGATAGATAGATAAGGAACATAGATAGATAGATAGATAGATAGATAGATAGATAGATAGATAGATAGATAGATAGATAAAGAACAGAGAGAGATAGATAGAGAGATAAAGAACAGGCATAGATAGATAGATAGTTAAGGAACATAGATAGATAGATAGATAGATAGATAGATAGATAGATAGATAAAGAACAGAGATAGATAGATAGATAGAGAGATAAAGAACAGGCATAGATAGATAGATAGATAAGGAACATAATTAGATAGATAGATAGATAGATAGATAGATAGATAGATAGATAGATAGATAGATAATAACGAGGGGGGTGATAGGTAAATTGATAGATAATAAACATACTGTTAAAGATAGTGTCATGGTGCCTACCTAGACCGACAGAATGAACTCTTCCGAACGCTATATATACTATGCCTCTCAAGAGAGACGGACGGATTTGGTATTGGGACGGTATTAAATCGAGTCAAGCTGATAGCAGTCACGCCAAACCAGTCGGACAGTCTACTAACACTTTTCACTTGTATTATTTCTAGTGTAATATATTCTTTGTTATTTCTACTGTTGTGTTTCGTGTTGTTCTTCCATGGTCCTAACCTTGGACCATAACAGGTGAATTACCATAATATGAGTATTCATTTTTTATAGATCGTGCAAAAGCATTTGGCAAGGTACGGTACAAGGATTTATTTAAACTGCTATAAAAACGAGATCTATTCCGAAAAGATTTTAGAATAATCCTGTACTTATACCGGGAGCGAACAACTTTCCATCGGATAGAACATAATTTGAGTGGCTACACAATTATAGAAAGGGGGGTAAAAAAAAATGATGTATCATCTCCCCAGATTTATTCAGCCTATACATCAATGTTCTTCTTAAGAAGCTGGAAACCCCTCCAAGATTTATTATCAGTCGGTACAAATTTAACAAGATAATATACACAAATCAATGCTGAAGTGGTTAAACATCTTACCTCTCACGACCTGCTCTCTGACAAAAAAAAATATGCATTCCGTTTTGCCCGGTCTACTACTGATATGCTCACGGCCATCACCGAATATGTATATCAAGCTCTTGATAATAACGGAGAGATTTGAGCTGCGGGTCTAGATATCTCAAAGCCGTTTTACAGGATTTCCTATGCTCTTCTTCTACGTAAGCTTCAGAGTTAGGGTTTTACAGTACAATTGTATGCGTTAATCCAATCATTCCTTTCAAATTCTGAACAGGCTCGCATCCGGATACTTTCACCCGAACGCGGGGGCCTCACAAGTGTCTATACAGAATTCTACGTTGTTTCTGATCTTCATTAATGATCTTCATGATATCATCAGTTCCCAAGTAGGCATTTATGCGGATGGCACTACCACTTGATTATGTCTCAACAGCAAATCTATCAGAGCTGACAAAATTAACCTGGCCGCTGCTCTTGAAAGGACCACTAATAAGTGGTTAACATGGGGAAGGAAATGGCATGTAAATTTTAATGAATTCCAAACTAAACTGCTCTCGTTTTACCACCATAGAGAAACTTCCCTACCCGACATCAGCATGGCTGATGCTCGGCTCCAGGAAGGCGTTTCATAGCGCCTTCTTGGCCTCACATTTTAAACGGAATTGAAGTGGAACAACAGTACTGAATCAATAGCTGCATGTGTCGTGCCAGAAAGTATTTTTTTCTTCAGAGTCCATCTTGCAGCTTTATAAATCTACCATTCGTCCGTGCATTAAATACTGTCACCGTATCTGGCCTGGTTCCCCTGCTGATCATCTCGAGGTTCTTGAAAAAATTCAGAAAAAGGATCTTCAACGTAATCGATCCGAATTTGGCATCTCGACTTCAGTCACTTTTTTCACAGATGTGATGAGGATTTCATCTTTCTTTTCTATAAATTCTCATGGTAACAGCTTTCTGACGAGCTTTTTACCTGGTGTTTGACTACGTGAATTTAAGCGTGCTACTAGATGACCATCTAGGTACCACTCTTTTACTGTGAAAATAGCGAAATGCAAACGCCTCTTCTACTCTAGCAGTTTCTTTTTTCGCACTTCCCGACAGTAGAACTCCCTTCCGGTTATTTGCTTCCCCGATAAATACAATATTTAAAAATTTAAATGATTCTTCAATCTTCTGTTGTCTTTAACCCCGTTCATCATTTATCATTTCTTCAATCCTCCCTATATCCACTATTTTCTTTATAATTTAACTCTCTGTAATCCCCATGCATAGTACTTGAACCCCTGCTTTGCTTGGAGAGAAAATAGCACTATGTCGATGGTTGACACGGGAATAATAACTACAGGACCACCGAGACAGTATCGTAAAAGAAATCGATTAAAATGGACGAACAATTAACTGAAATAAGACAGCAAATATGGTCATCATAAAGAGAAAACGCCTAAGATGCGGGTTACAAACTGAAGTTGTCAAAATCAAGTAAACAGAGGCGAAAAATGCGACACGAAAATCCGAACACCTATTGGATTAGCGAAAGAGCCATTCCAAAAGCTAAGATCAAAGAAAAAGTGCTGGTTTCCTATGGGATATCCCTCCAATTAATTGGTAATAAGTGCTGGACAATCCCGCCATAGATGAGAAGAAACCTGGAGGCAACATAAATATGGTTCGGTAGAAATATACTAATAATTCCATGTATGGAGATAGTAAGTCTTAAAGAAAATGGCACCAAAAAGAATGAGAATCACGAAGAGACCAGTAAAATTATTTGGACACATAATGAGGAAAGATGCCTTGAAGAATCTCACCCTCACAGTGCATATTGACAGCAAGTGAGATTGAGGGAGGCAGCGAGCCATAAACCTGATGAGTATATTGTTGTTCATGATGACGGTCGTCTTCGAGTATAGAATCCAGAGGTTAGCAGTGAATATTTCGAAGACAGTAGGAAAGCGTTGTTCAGGTTAGCAGTGGATATTTTGGTAAAAGTAGCAGAGGATAGTTCGTCCTTCTGTTTCTCTTCGCCTGAGAAGCTGGACTGGACATTCGGGTAGAGTAGACAAAATGGCCGCCTTTATACACGACGGATTGAATGTTCTATGTCTTCTGATTGGTTAACCTTCTATTGCTGGACTATAAAGTGAGTCAAGTCATTTGGGCGAACTCACTAGTAGATAATATATACAAAAAACTGCAGCATATATGTTATTGGATTACGGAACGGGTACTGGATTCTTAGTGAATGGAGAAAACTGCAAGGGCGAGAAGAGATAGAAATATTTGATAGGACGCATCACAAAGATGAATGTATCATGGCAAAGGTGACTTACTACTTATTAATATGCAATAATCTATATTTATTTTTCCTTGGGGCTTTATACAAATTGATTCTTATTGTGTTTTACATCGAAACCCGGGCTTAATAAACATGTCTTCGCAAGCAGAAAGAAATCGGGCACAAAGTTGTACATTCCAATGACTTATGAACGCTTGATTTCGCCTGAAGATTCTACAAACGTTATGTCTAAAAAACAGCGTATCAAAAGGACAGATTTTCCATTGACACCGCTATTGTTTTTATTAACTTCACTCTCTCGGTAATGCATTTTTCCAAAATTTATAATTACAGGAACTTCTAGTCATCGGTTTATTTATTTTTTTTTTTTTGCTCGCAGGTATTTTTTCATAAATTTATGAATAAAAACATTATTTTATTATTTATTTCTATATGAATTGATAAATAATAAATATTTCTCTGTATTAGTTGGTCCGAAAGTTTAATGTTCGCTTTTTTTACAATGCTGCAACTAAAATTATTCTTGCAAAGAAAGGATCTAATAAATAAATTGTTTCTAAAAGTGTTGTAAATTATCAAAGAATAAAGGAAATTTATAATTTCATTTTCATATCTTTGGGATTTATTAAAATTATATTCATTGCTTTTTTTTAAACAAACCAAAATAATTGCCGAGGAAGTGATTACGGTTATAATAATAGAAGTGTCTTGGAAAAAAAAAACGACCTTTGATACAACGTTTTCTTGTGGGCTATAAGGTTAAAGATTGGTAAAATTCTATTTTTACCAAAGTGTAAAACGAGTTAAGGGATTTTGAACGCCATTTTTTTTTTACTTCAAACATTTACTTTAAATTTCGGCAGGCACCCAGCTTTAGGCATAAAATTATTAGCGAAAATACTTCATCTAAGTTTTGGTATGAATAAATAAGTAATGTTTTCTGGCAACGATCTAGGTTCAAATTTGAAGGGACCAAAAATGATAATTTTCTGTTGGCTTCCGGTTCATAATTAAAGTAAAAATACGCGATTTATTCTTGTGATTATTTAGAGTCTGTTGTCGTCAACTCCAAGGATCAAGTGACAACAAATATCCTGTCTGAATGTCTTGTATGAGGAGCTATGATTATTTGCATTATATATTTGATCTTAATTCGGACAAATCTCCTTATTTTTGTTGTTTATATATAACGTTTCAGCTTTTTTGCAGTCCAGCTTTTTTCAAATGTCTGTCGGTTAAACTGATTGACAGAAACATGAGAAATCCATATGATACAACAAAGATGAGAATATTAGTTTCAGTATAACTAATAGGAGTGAAGGTGGATAGCGACTCGGACTGAGGAATCGGAAGAGTCGAGTTCGAATTCCAGTCAAATCCATTACATTCATTTACGCGCTAATACCCTTGGGAAAGCTATGGGTAAATGCAGGACAGGCCGCTTTCTATAGCCTTGAATGGCTACTAGTCTACTGCAGAAAGACATGGCAATCTACTGCGGGAAAAACCTGCCTTGTCAGTCATATGTCGAAAGATATATGATCGCCTACACGTGTATCTCGCATGGCACACAACTAACTGACTGATAAATAATTATTTTATCAGGATTCTTGCCGAGTCAATAGGCGTGGTCATCTTTGACCCTGGATTATGAATCTTTTCAATCTCTTTTTCAAAAATTTGCTGTAGGACATTATATCAGCTATAGGAAAAAGAGATTTTGTTTCTTTTTCTAGTTTCCTTCCGGTTTCACGACGACTTGTTAACTAGAATGGTTATATTTTTTTATTTAATCAACTATAATTTATTAACCCGATCTCATCTCTTGAGCAGTATGCATTGTAATACATTTGAATTTCTTTACCCGAGAAGCTGCGCTGTTCATAAATTTTCATAATCGAACTCAAATCGTCAGTACAGCTTACAATGGAGACCTCGACCACATAGTCTTTTTAGCATTATTATTATTATTATTATTATTATTATTGCTGCAGTTGCTGTTGTTGTTGAATGTTCCAACAAAATTACGATGAGGATGCAAAAATACAAAGACCAATGTACCCATCATGACATCCACTTTTATAAA